TCTCTGAAAAGATTGTGAAATCCATTCTTTGATTTGATTCTGCATGATGTTTTGTTTGTTCCTTCCTTTTGTGTCAATTTAATTTCTGTTTCTCAGCTGATTAATTCTCACCAATGTCATTTAGAACTTCATATTGATCATTGTTTAATCTTGCAGAATTCTACCAAGAAGATGATTGGTACAGCTAAGTAACAGCATGAACTGTATGTGATAATCAGAGACTCCGCTACAAGATCCCAACTCACCCAGCCTTTTGTTGGCAATACTGTTTCCAAAGATTCTTCTGATTTCATTCTATGGCATCGTAGATTAGGCCATTTATCAAATTCTACACATAGGATTATAGCTTCTCAATTTCCCGTTGTCTCATACCAACATCATGATGTTCCATGTGACATTTGTCACTTTGCTAAACAAAAAAGATTACCACATTTCATTAGTAATACAAAATCTGCTTCTGTGTTTGAATTATTGCATGCTGATATTTGGGGTCCTTATTCTATCCCATCTGTTTTTGGCCACAAATATTTCTTAACCTTGGTTGATGACTTTATCCGTTTTACTTGGATTGTAATGATGAAGTCCAAATCTGAAACAAGACAGCATCTCACCAATTTCATTTCCTACATTGAAACCCAATTTCAAACTAAATTAAAATGTCTCAGAACAGATAATGGCAGTGAGTTCCTTATGCATGATTTGTTTCTTTCAAAAGGCATTATTCATCAGAGATCTTGTGTTGAAACTCCCCAACAAAACAGGGTGGTTGAAAGAAAACACCAACACATGTTGATCACTACAAGAGCTCTCTATTTTCAAGCTTCATTGCCTAAAAACTTTTGGAACTTTGCCATTCAGCATGCTGTACATCTCATTAACAGAATCCCAAGTCCCCTTCTTGACAATAAAACCCCATATCAGGCCCTTCATCAACGACCACCAATCCTAGTTCATTTACGATCATTTGGATGCCTTGCATATGCTTCAACTTTGCAAGCTCACAGAACCAAGTTTCAACCCCGAGCCAAGAAATCTGTTTTGATAGGATATAAAGAAGGTGTCAAAGGGTATCTTCTTTATGATCTTCATTCCCATGAATTCTTCATGTCTCGAAATGTGTTCTTTCATGAATTCACATTCCCTTTCCATACACCTTCACAAACCTCTCTTACTCAGCCCTCTCCCACTCCAATTCCCATTCTTACACCCATTTCTTCTCCCTATGATTTAGACAATCATGTCCCACCTTCTCCTACTTCATCTACATTTATTCCCCCAGAACAACCCCACCAACCTCTTTCCCCTGCTCCTGCACCTTCAAGACATTCTACCAGAATGAGACAACCTCCATCCTATCTCAAGGATTATCACTGCAGTCTCCTAGCTCCTACTGGTCGTATCAATTCATTTTCAGGTATTTCCACCCCTCATTCTATTTCCTCTACACTTACATATGATTTTTGTTCTCCTTCATACAAACAGTTTTGTCTTTCTGTTTCCACCAATTTTGAACCACACACTTACACCCAGGCTTCTAAATATGATTGTTGGATTATGGCTATGAAAACTGAACTTGCAGCTCTTGACATGAATCAAACTTGGTCCATTGTTGACTTAACATCAGGGAAAAGACCCATTGGCTACAAATGGGTTTACAAAATCAAGTACCTTTCTAATGGATCCATAGAGAGCTACAAAGCCCGGTTAGTGGCTAAAGGCTATAGTCAAACTGAGGGCTTGGATTACCCTGATACTTACTCTCATGTTGCCAAGCTTACCACTGTTCGAGTTTTGTTAGCTTTGACAGCAATCAAAGGCTGGTTCCTAGAGCAACTTGATGTCAACAATGCATTCTTGCATGGTGACTTGCATGAGGAAGTTTATATGACTCTTCCCCCTGGTCTCTCAGTTCCATCTTCCTCTAATACTGCTCCTAAAGTTTGCAAGCTTCATAAGTCCATCTATGGACTCAAACAAGCTAGTCGACAATGGTATTCCAAGTTGTCTTCAGCTCTCATTTCCATGGGTTATTCTCAATCTACTATTGATCATTCATTATTTATTAAGTCATCTTCATCTCATTTCACTACTCTCCTTGTGTATGTAGATGACATTATTTTGGCAGGTAATGACAAGCCTGAGATTGATTTTATAAAGGCTCAATTACACAAGTGTTTCAAAATCAAAGATCTTGGCAATCTTCGATACTTCTTGGGGCTTGAGATTGCCCGTTCTAATAAAGGAATTCTTTTGAATCAAAGAAAATACACTTTGGAAATTTTGGAAGATGCTGGTTTTCTTGCTGCTAAGCCTTCTTCTACCCCTTTTAATCCTTTCTCTAAAGCTGCACAGTGATCATGGTTCACCATACAATGATGAGACAGCTTACAGACGTCTTATTGGTCGCTTATTGTATCTCACAACAACTAGGCCCGATGTCTCATATGTTGTCCAACAATTAAGCCAATTTGTTTCCAAGCCTCTGGACATTCATTATCAAGCAGCCACTAGAATTCTTCGATATCTTAAAGGCTCCCCTAGTCGTGGTCTCTTTTATTCTTCTTCAGCATCTCTTAAATTGTCTGCATTTGCAGATTCTGATTGGGCTAGCTGCTCCATTTCTCGCAAGTCAATTACTAGATTTTGTGTGTTTCTTGGTTCCTGTCTGATTTCTTGGCGATCTAAAAAGCAGTCCACTATCTCTAGATCATCTTCTGAAGCTGAATATTGAGCTCTTGCAAGTCTCACATGTGAATTACAATGGTTGCATTATTTGTTCAATGATCTCAAAACTTCTCTGAATTTTCCTACTTCAGTTTTCTGTGATAATAAGTCAGCCATTTATCTTGCTCATAATCCAACATTTCATGAAAGGACAAAGCACATAGAGATTGATTGTCATGTTATTCATGAGAAAATTCAATCCGAGCTCCTTCATCTCTTGCCTGTTCCTTCTTCATCTCAACTTGCAAATGCTTTTACCAAGCCACTTCATTCTACTTCCTTTAATTCTTTTGTCTCCAAGTTGGGCCTTTGTGACGTTCACAATCCCACTTGTGGGGGGCTATTATCATAATATAATTAGTTATTCGGAATATATCAAATAGATTGGAGAGAATATTTTATTTTGTCTCTTAGCAAAATTTTTTCTCTTTCTTCACATAGCTCTTGCATGAGCTGTCCAACAGAATTGATTTCTTTATCATGTATATAAACCTCCCTTTGTTGATGGGTTATGTATGAAAACCTTTCATCAATATTATAGTAACGTGAATTTTCTCCTTTAAGCGCATTAGATATTTTGAAGCAAACAATAGCTCTGTCAACATTGCATTTAATCATGATCAATAACCACTTGTAACAGACTATGTTATGATCTTTTGGATGGGGAACCAAGGACTGCATTCAATTTTCAAGAAAGCTACAAACTCATCTGCAATTACGCTTCGCCATCGAGGATTTTGCATAGCTTGACGTACATTTGATGGCTCTAACTAATTCCACAATGGATGCTTTGAAGCAGTGAATGATATCCTTTTGTTTTGAAGATGTTGTCAAAGGAAAAAAATTAAAAAAAAAAATCTTTAAAAATTTTCTCATTAAATAAAAACACTTAAAAACGAATTATTCTTATTAATATAAGAAGAACAACTAAATAGTAAAAATAAATAAATATACATCTACGATTAAAGCATATTTTATAGTAAATAATATAAATATAAATATAATATCTTGAAACAAAAATATCATTTATTAAGTTAAGAAATTATATTATTAATACATAACTGGTAAAAATTATTTTTTTCAAGAACATATGACATTGAACTGGATTGAAAGAACAACCCGAAATATAATCTGAATTCATCTTTAAAATACATTGAAACTAATTTTTTAAATTCAAATTCATCAAAAGTCTCTTATGGACGAGGCCAAGCTAATAGGGACGAGATGCGTCATTTGTTTTTTCTTCTACACTTATTTGCAAAATTATTTTCTTCGTACATGGAAAAGATAAAGTAACACTTGTTGAGACTTTTTCCTTTTTCAGGTGGGGGAGTATTTCTTTAAGAAAGATGGACAAATAAATAAATAAATATATATATATAT